GTCTGCATGATTGCATTTTGTAGCAGCTGCAGCTTCCAGGTGCTCTTCAGGACAGCCCCATGTACAGCATGTTACAGTAATCCATTCTGGAAGTGACGGGATTTGAGTGACTAAGAGTAGAGCCTCCCAATCCAAGAATGCTTAAATACAGTTGAGTATTTCTCTGACATTGAAAACCTGCTCTAATGAAATATATAAGGAGGAAGTGTGATTGTTCAGTGATAACAGGTGCATTAATATAACACATTAAGCCAGGGGTGTCAAACTGCCGGCCCATGGGCCAGTTGCATCATACAGAGACCACGCCCACTCCAGCTCCAGCAATGCAAAAAAAGTCGCAATACGTCGCGACACGTCACGTGACGCGGCGAGTTTGACACCCGTGCATTAAGCTATGGCTTTTATTATTTGTTTATTTTTAAATAAACCAGAAACAAGCCAGTCAGATACCACCAGAAACAAAACTGAAATAATAAAGGAAATCAAAAGAATTGGACCCTCATGGAAAAGTTTTTTCTTCAACAAAGAAAGTGCTCTTCAGAGTCTTGAACTGACTAAAACATTTTCGGTTGGGCAGTTTCATTCCATACAGCATTAACCTTGCAAACTCTCAAGTTTCCTCCTTCCGTTATATATTCAAGATGGACAATATTTAATATTTATTTGCTACGTATATGTAGGGATGTGGGTCTATACATATGTTGTTCATAGAATGTTTAGGTGTGTGTCATGTATGTGTTTCATTTTGTGAGCGGGCAACTAAATTTCATTTTTGATGTGTGCCATTGTGCCCACAGTATAAAAATAACAATAAAGGTTATCTTATCTTATCTTATCTTATCTTATATTATATTATCTTAAGTTAATTATGGTCAAAAACCCCTTATCAGGCTGGGACTTGCAAAGAACATTCGAAACAATCAACATACTGAGAAACTGTATTACCAACATTTATGTACACTGCTCTACTATTTGTCAATTAAAATAGATATAAAATTAAGTGAAAGAGGCCAGAGAGATTCATTGATAAACTGGAGAAATGCCATTTACATTGCCTAACCAAACTCTCCAGAAAGATTCTTTTAAAAACTGACAGCAACAAAATCAAAGAGCAGCTACCTGGAGAAAAATCAAATTTCACTCACTTCAGCATCTCCCTCCCCCCCCAATCCTGTTTATTCTTCCTCTTTCCTTATCTAGTATGTCAGTAACACAAATGCAGAGCATTAGCTCCTCCAACTGACTATCCAGGACATTGTCTTCTTCCTTCAGTACAACTAAGATACTCTGAAGGAGCATCTGAATGCGTACTGAACGCTATATGTGTGTATGTACTGAAAAATTCATGAACAAATCTGAAAAACTAAGATACCAGTACCAGTTTAAAGGAGAGCCAGTTTGAAGAAAAAGACCAAATACAGTTCAGTAAAGATTAATAGCAATATTATACAATTCACTTTCATTTTTCCTTATATCGCACCTTATCCTTTAATTTGCTGCAAACATGGGACGGGTATCTTTAAAAATTGTTCCATTTAAGTTATCTTTTAAAAAGAACTTGTTTCTTTCCTCTAATTAAATACAGGATAATTTAACTTATTCTCTCTCTCTGTCTCTGTGTGTCACTCTCTCTCTCATACACACACACATATACACACACACACAACCATTTTTTATATTTACAACTGTTGCAACATCCCCACGGTCAAGTGATCCAAATTCAGATGCCTGGCAACTGGTTCATATTTATGACAGTTGCAATGTCCTGGGGTCATGTGGTCACCTTTTGTGACCTTCTGACGGGCAAAGTCGATGGGGAAGCCAGATTCACTTAACGATCATGCCACTCATTTAACAAGTGCAGTGATTCATTTAACAACCGTGGCAATAAAGGTCATCAAATGGGGTAAAGTTCACTTCACAACCGTATTGCTTGGCCACAGGATCTAAGACTCCACCCCAATTTAACCACAATGTTAAAAAAAGAAACATAAAGGTCTAGCAAAAACCTGGTTCACCCACAATGCTAAAAGAGAAACCGTTGTTATAAACCACAATGGCTGAGTTTACACATCAGAATGACCGAACCCAGCATTTTCTCACAAAAACATAAACTTCATATTCATATTCAAAATATTAGACATTATTTTTCCTCCTTTAAAAAAAACAGTGCAAAAGCAATTGTTGAATATCTGCTTAGGGTAGCCATAAAAATCTTTTAGCTACTTTCAACAACAAATATAGTAATTCTTTTTAATATTGCATGTTAAAAACACGTGTACACACCACTTTTCCATGTTGTCCTTTGGAAAGTTCCATCATTTTAAATGAAAACATTTATTCACATAGAGTGGCTCCCAAGAATGGCTCTTCTTCTAAAAAGGTCTGGTAAATTTTGTAAAGGTTTTACAGTGAGTCTATGTACCTTTTAAAATTTCAATTTTGTAAATATATTGGGATAGCTGTAAAGATGCTTTTTCTTCTTGAAAAAGAGCCAAAATAGTATATAACAAAGGCAAGCTCAGTTTTGATCTCTTCTTAGGAAAAAAAAACATAAACCTTCAGGCTCCCAGACAAATCTTATTAACTTTTGACATTTAGTTACATTCTGCTATGAAAACTTTATCCGCCAAGCTAAGCTTCAGAAACATCAGAGCAACTTAATCTAACATTTGCTGCAAGTTGTTTGTGTTCTCAGCCAACAACATGGTATATTTATATGAGAGTAAATCATACAAAACCAATTTCTCTCTGATGTCACGGTAAGCATTCCTTATACATTTATTCATAAATATATTAATGGCCAAAGAGATATCTTACATATTTGTTTTGAAGTCCCGAGTGCTGAACTGCTTGCTAAGCAGTCTATTTATTTGCAGGCATGACTTCTTCCATCCTATATTATTATGCTTATTGACTTCCAACATTACTTCCCTTCACACACACAATACAGGTAGTCCTCGACTTACAACAGTTCGAAGTTACAACGGAACTGAAAAAATGATGTATGACCATTTTTCCACACTTAACAACCATTGCAGCATCCCCATGGTCATGGGATTTACATTTGTATGCTTGACAACTGGGTTCCTATTTATGACAGTCGCAGTGTCCCAAGGTCATATGATCACCTTTTGTGACCTTCTGACAAACAAGGTCAATGGGGAAGCCAGATTCCCTTAACCACATTGTTACTAATTTAATAACTACAGTGATTCACTGAACAACTGTGGCAGGAAAGGTCGTAAAATGGGACAAACCTCAGTTAACAAATTTCTCACTTAGCAACATAAATTTTGGGCTCAATTGTGGTCATAAGGACTACCTGTATTTCATAATTTAAGTCTATTTGCTTTACCGTAACTTTCAATTTGCTCTTGCTCTCTGTAAATTAAATACTCTTATTGTTCTTTCATGCAGGTTTGGTGATACTGTTTTGTGTGAGTACAGTCACACACAGTCTAGAAACTAGCCAATGTTGTTCATGTCGTATTTTGTGAAAAAGTATGCTGGATTGTTGGAATTTCAAGGTGTAAAAGAATTGGGAGGCGGCTTGGGGGAGGGGGGTTTGAGATAGCTACACAAATGATTGCATATTTGCTTTATATAAAATTTGGGTGCAGGGTGCAAATGAAGACAATATTGTTCAGTTTGTACCATAAATTGTTCCTGCAAAAGTCAAGCACTGGCTTTTTCTTGGCAGCTGGGCTGTAAAAAAATATCAAAATATGTCTTTCAATCTGCTGCCTGCAATCTGCATACACAAAGCAAAAAATTGGGTTGGGGGCAAACTTTAATTAAAAAAAAAAGCAACTAAAGAAATCTCACTGGTCTTCTTGAGTAAGATTTGTTTACTTAACTGTTAAATTTTAGTCTTAAGATCAGGAAGTACTAATGGAAAAAGCGCTGATGAGATTACCGTATCTTTTCCTGACATCATTTATTTCCTATTGGAATATTTCAAAGCCTTCAAAAGTTTTTTTTTTTAAAATCCTTCCTTTTGTCAATCTTTCTTCAGGTTGGCTGGCAGACAGAGGTCACTCTGCCGCTCCATCCACTAGTGTTGTAATCTTGGGTGCAAAACATGGTGAAAAAGGTTTTGGCCAATCTATTTTGTATCATTGGAATGTTCAGACTGTTTTGAGTTTTGCCCATTAAATTGTGGCTAAATTGGAATGAATGAAATGAAATATTTTGAGCTATTTGGGTCTCAAGCTTGAAGCAAAACATATTTGTATTTCTTGCACATTCCTACTGGGGTTTTAAGTAATGTATGCAAAACCAATATAAGATATATGGCACTTTTTTTGAGGGGGGGGGGGAGAATGCCTTCAATTTAGTCTGGCAACGACATGAACAAGACCATGAAGTTTTCTAGGGAATAGGGGTAGATCTTGATGTGTGTCCATAATGGGGCCTGCCTGTCTGATTTTAAGTTTTTTGCAATGATTAAGCAAATGCAGTGGCCATAAAGCGAACACCAAGCAAATGCCCTGGTCATTAAGCAAACCAATGCTTCGCTATGGGTGAGGTTTTGCTGAAAGCTCAAAGTACTGGTTTGGGGCAAAAGCATTGAAAAATGCAGTCTTGTGACCACAGAACACTGCAAATGGCACTAAATGTGGGAAAGTTGCTGAGCACCCAAATTTTGGTCATGTAACTGAGGAGGGGACCCAACCATTAGAACTTCAAATTTGGTTTATAAGTCCCCTTTTTGGGCTGATCATTAATTTGATCGATTGTAAATCAAAGACTACCTGTATTTTTCAGAAGTGGTTTTCCATTGTGTTCCTTTATAGGGCTGAAAGGAATGTACAGTTTAACAATTACTACAGCATGTATGATGCAGCAAATTCATAATTGATTAAAGTAAAAAACTAGCAGATCAAAATGAAGAAGAGCCCAACACCAGCAATTATTTTTGCACTCCCATATATACTTTTTGTAAGAGTTTTCAAACTAAAACCAATTATTGAGTTATTCAAATATACAGTACTTACAATATCATACCCCAAGTTAGCATACTGAAGAAATCTTTCAACTAAAGGATGAGATAGCTGATTAAATCTGTAACGGAAGAGATCCATTTCTTGTTGGATAAACCATCTCTTAAGCTCCTCCCTGTAATAAAGCAATGAACGCATAATGAAAAGCAGTTGATTTAGACATATCCAGTAAATAAGAGTTTCTCTAGAGCAGACATGTTAAACTCGCGATGTCACGTAACGTCGCGCAACGTATTGGAGCTTTTTCCCCATTGCCGGCAATGGGGTGGGCGCAGTTTCCTGGTGACGTGTCCGGCACACCCCTGCTCTAGAGACTTAATTTCAGTGAGATAGGAAAAAAGTTTATTCACATTTAACTTTTTCTTTTTACAGATAATTAGAACAAAATAGAGTTCATAAGTCCTCAATGTTATTTGTAAATTCTTGCTAAATCATTATTATTGAGTTCCTATGAGTAGCATTTTGCTTATAAGAATGAAACTATTCTTGCTGCCTCCTTTTTACAGCAATCTAAATATCTGTATTATAGGAAGCTACAATAGAATTTCAGTTCATACTGCACATGGAAAAAGCACTTCCTTCCATGGATACCACATTATTTGGTCCCTGTATTAATCCTAGCACTTAAAGAGATTAATAAATAAAAAGTATTGCAATCAAGTTTTTTCACTACTATATGTCCAAGTTTCTAAGCATTCATAAATCCAATTCCAGTTTAAAACTTTGAGGAGGCTATTATTATTAAAAATCATCGCCTTTCCACTAAACAACTTAATATAATTAAGATGTTTTTAAAGTAAATTTCACTGAAAGGAGTAAGAATTGCAACGTACAATTACGCACTTCAATTACGAGGCTACTTTCAGACAATAGCAAGTTTGAATACAGCATATAATTTTAAAATTATTTTATTCAACCATGCAAGAAATTGTACAAAAGCATAATTTATTTAGAAAAGCAGAATGGCAATTGACAAGAGTTAAAGGTTTTATTTATACTGTTTGGCCCTGATGCCTTTGCACTCTCTGAAAGACCATTAGGTATTAAATGGCAGTCTGCTATTACCATTTTTAAAAAAATCAAAAATAAATTTGGACAACATACAAGAAATTTGAATTACAGAATCGAAATATCCTATATTACCCCAAAAAATGTCTTCAGGCTTTATGGAATATTAGATATGTGTCTTATGATCAAAATTAGAGAAGGAAATATTAATATTAATTAAAGTATATGCCTCAAATCAATTGACAATTGACCCTTGTTATTATGTACTCATAGAAGTTCAGTTGTACAGTATCGCAGTCTATAAAGACTACCCTTTGTTTGAACTCTGTGCTTTCAGATAGAAAAGACTGGACCATATGCTTCTATATAATCTAGATTCAATTTTTTGTTTAAAATAAAATCACAATATAGAGAAATTGAATAAAATTATGTAATCTCTAATTTGTGTGTGCAAATAATATTATGTATATTCTTTATGTATGTAGAGTAGCATTTATATATTATACTATGGCTCGATTTATACTGCCTATATAAATAAACTGGAAAATTGATGTATCACTATATAAATGTATTTCTATCTATACAGAAATAGATACAATTTAAGTATTTAGGTGTTTCACTTTATTAAATTGATTTCTATGCTTAATTTAGAGGTTTTCATTTTTTCCTCTTTTTCCTGTCTCCATTTTGGTTTTTTAGATAATTTAATTTTTCCTCCACCTTCATAACTCAAGATTTTTTAAAGTAGTTAGTTTATATAATACTAATACAGTTACATCACATTAAACAAATTATTTTTAAAATCAATTGTAATATTTTTACATTCAATAAACATGTGTGAAATACCATAGAACGTTTATTTTAGTAAAGCAGCATTTTGTTTAAACTAACATATGGAATATGCCAAATATATAGCCAGCAATAGTGTTCTCTTTTGTTTGTAGACAAAAAAATTAAAAACAAGTAGTTGTGATATCAAACTACAATATCAAATATTTTTGAATAAAAAAAATGTGTCAATGTAAGTTTTGCCTCATGGTGGCACTGTTGAACTATTAAAATCTCTAGCAGACAATCAGCTCTGGCTTTCTCACCACCATACTATCACACACACATTGTAAAATTATGCCTGTTTCTTTCAACTTGTTGTGTAGCACCTTAACATTAAGACATCACATGATACAAAAAGCTTATTTTGAAGAATTAAACATTTATTGTAAGCATCTGAAGCTTACGAATAAATCCTAAAGGCAACATAATGATTATTTAAATTGTTGCCAAAACGCCTGATGGAAAAGCCAGGATTCTTCTGATAACTTCTTTCTTCTTTTCTCAATTTGAGCTCTATAATTTTTGAGCCATAGCTTTCCCCAATATAGGCTTAAATGCAGATTCTATCAAGAGAGAGAGAGAGAGAGAGAGAGAGAGAGAGAGAGAGAGAGAGAGAGAGAGAGAGAGAGAGAGAGAGAAATCTCCTGAAATTTTGTTTATTTATCTGTGAAATTTGTTTAAGATGCTCATTGAAGTGTGCATGCATATACAGATAGTCCTCAACTTACAACCATTTGTTTAGTGACCATTCAAAGTTACAATAGCACTGAAAAGCGACTTATGACCATTTTTCACTGTTGCAGCATCTCCACTGTAACATGACCAAAATTTGGACAGTTGGCAACTGGCTCAGATTTATGATTGTTGCATAGTCCCGCGGTCATGTGATCACCATCTGCGACCTTCTGACAAGCAAAGTCACTTAGCAACCGTGTTACTAACTTAAAAACTGCAGTGATTCACTTAGTAACATGCTGTAAGAAAAGTCATAAGATGGGAGAAAACTCACTTAACTGACTTACTTAACAATACAAATTTTGGGCTCAATTGTAGTCATAAGTCGAGGACTATGTGTACTTGAAAGAGCATGTGGGATTATCTCCTGAAGAGCTAAATATTTATAGACTTTTATTGATCTTTTGACAAAGAAAAAGCACTTTCCCCTCATAACAATAAATGATTTCCATTTTTTTTCAGAAATCGTGCATTATAATAGCATCAACCTAAGAGATATTATATTTAAGGAAGACCATATCTACAGCCAAAATGCTGGCTGCTAATAATAAAGCTGTATATAGCATAAGGCAGGGGTAAGCAACCTTGGCTCTTTTGTGACTTGAGTCATAAAAGAGCCAAGGTTGCCTACCCCTGAACTAGACAAATAGTACTTACGATTGGCAGTAGGCAAGGCGCAGTATAAAATGAGAAATATGGTCTTTTCTTCTTGCATCATAATCATCTTCAATCAAAGCCTAGTTAGAAAGAAATATAGCAGAAAAACAAAACCTGCATCACAAACAGCATAGCATACTATATATTAGTGAGTGGTAACATCACCATGTAAACAGAAGGCAAGCTCAGATAACTAGTTTTCCTCTTTCCTACTTTCTTTTCCTACTTTCCTACTTTCAATCTCCTGCAACCTCAAAGCATTCTTTAGAGAATCAAGGTACAAAACAGTTCAAGTTGTATTTTATTAATTGCACTTGGAAAAAAAATGTTTACAAGATACTTTTGTCTAACTTGGCCAATTACACCCACACCGTACTGTAGATCCAACACACAAACATTTCCCTGTTTGTCATCACCTGAGCTCACTGGAAAAGTAGTTTGGGTAGTTCAGGAGTCTACCAGGCAAGGAGGGCAGGATGTAATGGATGAAGGAAAAGGAAAGAATAATCCTAATCTACCTTCTGTTTTCTACAATTTTGTATTCTACTGACCTTAACACTTTGCTATAGGGAAAGATTTAAAAAAAACAGTCATTTATAAGGGCAATAACAGGGCTAACTGCAGGGTTTATTACAAGGGCCATCAATTGGAACCAGGTACACAATAATCATTTGGAAGTATAGGAGGAAGTGCCAAATTCAAAAGTGAAAATTGCATTACATGAAAGATCCATTTAAATTAGGCTCTCCTCAGATGGTATTTTATTTTATCCTGAGTGCCAAGCTTCAAGGACATATTATTCACTTCTACTTACATAATATGGAAATTTAAGGTGTCGAAGTTCCGATTGTAGCTTTTCTTGGTAAGAGTCACCACCTTTCACATAACTCACACCCAAGTTCTCAACTGTTTTGAGTACTGCAATAACCAGACAAGAATCTTGAAATATGACAGTGGAGCAGTGATTAAAAACACACAGTATCTGAAAATATTAATTTTCATGCAATCAACATATTCTAGCACTAAGAACCAGATTATACCAATCACATATATTATGAATGCTATCATATTGAACAGAATTCAAAATGTATTAGTTCGGTAACTCTGAAAAGGTGAAGATATATATATACAATTCCACCAAAATATGAACTTGGATCATTCTGAAAAGCTACACATAATGAAACAACTATTTTGTGTTATATACTCTATATACTCACATTTTAATCTATCAACTGCAAAACTTTCGAACTCCATCAGAGAAATATTTTCAGTAGGGGGCTGCAGATAGAACTGGACACTAAGAGGATATGACTCTTGTTTATCCCCCAATTTCAAAACTCCCCGTTTGACATATGAAGAAAACTGCATTTTTTCCACATAAACCTATAAAGTATGTTGAAAAACTTTAATAAAATATGGAATGAACAATCAAGACAGAAAAAGATAAGCATGATTCAGAATATTCATTACATATATAACAATACAAGTTTTATTCTGGGATCAAATTGCTTCTAGGCTTGTTACATGTTTTGATGTTATGATTTTCTCCCGAACCACAGCTGCATACTTTTAAAAGCAATTCAAACTTTACATTTTGTAAAAATCAAGACACTGACAAGGAAATAGCATGAGGCAGTCACCAGGAATTGAACTCAATTTGCGGACATCTTTACTGTACAGTAAATGAACATCTCTTTGCTGCCCCCAAAGGGAAAATATAGACAAGAGGAGGCTAAACTCCTCTCCACAAATACTTTTATAAAAGTGGATTGAGGCTAAGCTCCTTCTGCAGTATACTGTTACAGCAAAAAACTTTTATTCTTTGGTTACTGGTAGCAATTTAATACTCAGTTTAAAAGAAGCAACAAGAATGAAGCCTGTAAACCACATCTGACCCTAAATGACTAGAGACTTATGGCTAAAAGAAATATGATTTGCTAATTTAATGAGGTCACCTGTATTACCATATTATCTATTTGCTAAACATGCGAAGACATGGATCAACAGTCTATAGTTTCACACTTAATCCAATCACAAGGGCTTCCACACAATATATTGAACCGTAAATTATCCACAATGAATGAATTCAGCTCATCCAATAGAGTACAGGTAATCCTCGATTTATGAGCACAATTCAGCCCAAAAGTACTGTTAAGTGAGACATTTGTTAAGTGAGTTTTGCCCCATTTTATGACGTTTCTTGTCACAGTTGTTAAGTGAATCATTGCAATTAAGTTAGTAACCTGGTTGTTAAGTGAACCTTGCTTGTCAAAAGGTGATCACATGACTTTGGGACATAGCAACGGTCATAAATATGAACCAGTTGCCAAGCCTCTCAATTTTAAACCCACGATCGTGGGGATGCTACAATGGTCATAAATGTGAAGGTTGGTTATAAGTCACTTTTTCCAGTTGTAACATTGAACAGTCACTACTTGAACTGTTGTAAGTCGAGGACTAACTGTACAAATTCTGCAGATGCATTTTAGTCTAGCATTGTTTTGAGTCCTCCTTGCCTCGTTTAAATGGGAAGAGGAATCATGTTGTCAACACCCTTTGGATCTGCCGGAACGAGGTCTTCTCTCTGGAATTATGGTCCCCACACATCCGAAGAGAGAAGAGAGGCAGAGAGCCGACAGAGCTCAGGGCTTGGCCTGTGGGGTCCCTGGTGCTCCCTGAGCTCGGAGGTTTTCTTGCAGACATTTCATTATCAAACATCTTCAGTGTGTAATGTTGTCTAGTTGGCTAATGAAACGCCTGCAAGGAAACCACCAAAAGTTCAGGGAGTACCAGGGACCCCCAGAAGCAGAAATGGACCACCGCAAGATTTTGGCGCCGCACTTGTATAAAGGAAAACCCTCCAGAATTCAGTCAAACTAACTAATGAATAAAACGCGTGAAGGATCCCACTGGTGTGACATCACCTGAACAAGAGGAGGAATCCACTTAAGAAACTACTCACCGACTAGCAGCAATCTGTACGATAAGCACCACAAAGCCGACTAAATCTCCCGCGCGAAATCACTACGCGGTGGGCCCTCCTCGTGTCGTCATCTCCTCTCCTCCGTTAAATCGTCCATCTGATTGGCTCTTCCGCCTGCTTCTAGGGAGTTGCCATGACAATGCCCTCGCCTTCTTCCACATCTGTCATTTAAGGGCTGTTGTGGGCGGGCAAAGATGGGGGAGGGGGGAGAAGGCTGAAAATCGAATGAGCTGCGCGCGACTGGCGAGATCTAGCCGGAAGTAAAGGGCCTCCAGCGCGGAGAGGGCCTCCCTGTGTTTTGTTAGCGGAGTCTCTAGTTTTCGAGCCATCAGTTTGAGGTGCTCGTTAAGTACCATAGAGCTAAATATGTGACCGTCGGACGCAGCCCTCACTTCCGGTTTCTAACTTAAAGCGGCTACCGGAGGGATAAGGGAGGAAATCATGCGTTGAAATAAAAGAATTCTGCCCCTCCCCCCAATAATTGTGAAAATTGTGGAAAGCGATCCGAGGCTTTGGATGTTGCAATTTTCCTTCCTTTGGTTCACGTTTTGGGATAGATCACAAGGTCTTTCTTGGTTACGCCTTAACATAATCATCATCATCACAGTTGGAAGGGACCTTGGAGGTCTTCTAGTCCAACCCTCTGCTCACGCAGGAGATCTATGCCATTTCAGACAAACGCATGTCCAATCTCTTCTTAAAAGCCTCCAGCGATGGAGCACCCACAACCCTTGAAGGCAAGCTGTTCCACAGGTTGATAACGTGTTAAAGTAGATGGAGACCAGTGTTCCCAGCACATTATTTCGCCAAGATTTTATGACAGTTTAATAACTGTTTTCTTGATTCAGTGTAAACTGGTACTTAACGTTATTGTGGGTTGTATGAGCTCACTTTTGTTGGCCTTTTCTTAGTTGACTTCTTCCAGACAGCAAGGATGTTGCTAATGAGGTTTGTCTGTACACTTGTGTGTCCAAAGTATTAAAAGTTTTAGCCTCATATGTAGTGCTTACAGGGAGCTGTCCTGCCTTATTTTATCTGTCTAAAATTATATAGGGTCTCCTGCTTGATAGACCTCTAAGGTCTCTTCAAACTGTTATTTTGTGATCCGAGGCATTCTCAACATAATTTAAAGACATTAATTCTGCCATCCTTTTTAATGGTCCAGCTTTCACTGCTATTTGTTGATGCTGGGAAATTTGTCATTTTACCTTTGTGGTCAATGTAATATCACTACGTTTTAATATTTTGTTGGATCTGTCAGTCTTTGTCCCATGTTGCAGCCACAAACACCTTCTCTGTGAGTGTTTGAGTCTAAGTAGATAAAAGACTGTTAGATAAGATAAGATAACCTTTATTATCATTTTTTTTACTGTGGGCACAATGGCACACATCAAAAACGAAATTTAGTTGCCTGCTCTCAAAGTGAAATACATACATGACACACACTTCAGCTTATTTACACTGAATTGGTATTGTCTGATGACATTATGTTTTTTAAAAAATATTATTTAAGTAGCAAACCAACTTCTGCACTTTCTTCTTTCAGTTTCAACAAGCCTTTTCCTCACTTATAACCATCTAAGGATACAACAGGATAAAGTTATAGGAAAAGAAAATTGTTTCTTTTTAATCGTATGTTTTGGCTACCTTGGGAGAAAGAACATGAGATATGTTTTACTAATTGCATTCTTTACAAATATTCAGACACTACATAAGAACTGGAACAAACCAAGAAGCATACCTGCATGTACGCACACGCACACCCCCACATTAGAAGTACAGAGAAGGATACACAACACTCAGACTATTTTAAGACACTTCTTATAGCAGCAGCCCCTAGGGAGTTCACAAGAGAACTATAAACATTTAAAACAAGGTAGCAATATAAGATAATCCACAAAACAAAAATGACAGAACAAAACCCACACCTCCACTCCTCAGAAGAAGCTGCACCCATCCTAGCCAAAAAGCCAGGTCTTCAAGGGACATCATTTCAGAGGGCAGGTGTTATGACATGTACAGTATGTGTATTTCTAGCTGGAATAGTAAAAAAGCCTTCCAGAATCTTTTCGTTTTCTTCCATTTCCTAGAATTGATGTGTCTAAAGCCTTGCTAACTGCTCATGTTGGTCGACTAATGATGCCATCAGTGCCAGATAATTTTTTAGAAATATATAAATTCAAAATATTTTTTAAATGTTATATAAAAGGTCAGCTGATTTGATCATAAAGATAGTCCTCGGCTTAGGACAACAATTGAGCCCAAAATTTCTGTTGTTAAGTGACTCATTTGTTAAGTGAGTTTTGCCCCATTTTACGACATTTCTTGCCACAGTTGTTAAGTGAATCACTGCATTTTTAAAATTAGTAACCTGATTGCTAAAAGAATCGCTTCCCCATTGACTTTGTTTGTCAGAAGATTGCAAAAGTTGATTACGTGACTCTGGGACACAGCAACCGTCATAAATATAAGCCAGTTGCCAAGTGTCTGAATTTTGATCATATGACCATCGGAATGTGGCAAAGGTAAGTCTGAAAAATGGTCTAGTCATTTTTTTCAGTGCTGTTGTAACTTTGAACAGTCACTAAATGAACTGTTGTAAATCGAGGACTATTTGTATAGTATATTTATTTAAGAAAAACTATATGCTGTTTCATTTAAATTATTTCTACCTGAATATAGCAAGTATTGTAATTAATTTTCTTTCTCTCATTTATTAATATATTTACTCAGAAGTAATGCCCATTACGTATCATGGAACTTCAAGAGAGTAATCCTTCCTTCTTCAATGCTGTTGTCTTAATACATGTGGAAAATTCAGCCTATTTCAACCACATAATATACCAAAATTTTGTTTTTTATCTTTGTTTTTGTTCCATTTGCAACTGAGTTTTGATCTTGATATACAAGGTTATCAGGAAGTATACTTATACATTGGTTCCCGGGGGGCAGGGGAGTGTGTGTGTGTGTGTGTGTGTGTGTGTGTGTGTGTGTAAAATAAAATGGGAAATATTTACTTATTATATACCTGGTAAAAAACCTAGTTTTCATTTTCTTCAGCAACTAATGGTCCCAATAATTCAACCCTGTATCTATGAAGAGTAATACAAGGCAGGCTTTCTCTGTAGGGAGTTATTTACTTAGAGTTTTGACTTTACAAATATTATATAATTTAAACACAACACACATATATGCATATACATTCTTAATGATTATCACCCAGTCTAGTCTAAGAGTCATCTAAATTCCTACAAATATGTACAATCAGTGTTTTAGCATTTTCATTAGTCCATGTAGCATTAAACTTAGTTGCTGTAAGATCAAACAGTGAGGAAATGAACCGGACCCATCCAAAAGTAAGAGAATAGTGTAACGATCTGCTGTGTGCTTGAGCCTTCCTTTGGTTGTGATTAAACAAACCGTTATGATGTTTAAACTGAGATGAAATAATTTCCAACTACTGCAATTATAAATAAATATAAGAAACTAAGATTGTTGTCTAAGATTTAGTTTGGGATTAATTTGTTATTATCTTGTTTTTGGTGATTCTCCCGCAGTCCGTGTTTATTTAAATTCCCGGTTCAGTTTCAGTGGGATTTTATCTCAAGTAGGTGTATATGAGATCATAGAAAATTGTGTTTAGGCTTTATCAAATTGAAAGCAAATTCCTCCTGAATTCAGTGGCTCTTGATGACAAATGATTGAACTATAGTATTATCTATGTCCCTTTCCCTGATATTTGTCATGTTCATTTCAGCAACAGGAGATTCAAGCTAATAACGATTTAAAGCAAGCACTTATGAGCCTTTTTTTTTCTTTTCAAACAATCTGTATTTTATATAGGATAACATAAAAATTGGCTCAAGGTTACGATGATGATAATGATGATAATGATAATGTATTAAATTTGTATAGGTAGTCCTCAACTTACAACCATAATTGAGCCTGGCAATTATGTCCATAAATTGTGATGGTTGTAAAGTGAGTCATGACATGAAAACCAATGTCCCCTACTGGGCATATTTTCTCAGGAACTGAAAGCAAAACACTTATTTCTGGGAAAAATTGTCGTGGATTGCAGTCACACAACCATGGGTGCTGCAAACAGCCGTAAATGCAGACTGGTTGGCGAGTGTCCAAAATGCAATCATGTAACTACGGGGTGGGTGGGAGGGAGGAGACACCATAACTTTGGAACTGGAAGTAGCTCTTGCGGATTCGTAATAAGTTCAAACAGTTGTTAAGTGACTGGTTGTAAGCTGAAGATTACCTGTATGCCACAATAAATAAAAGAAAAAAGATGGCAGATACAATGAAGGGGGGGGGGCTGTCCCTTGTCAAAGGTCTGGGTGAAGGCTCTGAACAATAGCAGAGGGGGGCTGCGGGGGGGGGGGCAATCTGGATCTTAGGGGACCTCATTCCAAAGGGCAGGGCTGCTGCAGAGAAAGTGCATTTTTTGAGAGTCCTGAGACTGGCATTTATCTAATCGAAGAAAACCAGAGTGGTGTCTAACTGGTCAGGCAGAGCTTGTGGGAGACAAGCATACGAAAAACAAAATTCTCTTAGTTTTGCTTTCCAATTTCCCAAGGTCATGGCTGAGTAAACAAATCCAAGGGTGAAGAACGGAGTGCTGCCTCACATTTATTACGTGTTAACCTCAATTATTTTGTGGTTTCTAAATTATTTCTCAGCTGAATTGCTTACAATCTGAAGCCATACCAAAAGCTTCCTCTGATACAGAGGTGCATTCATTTATTTATGATATATTCCTAACTTATGGGGATATATGCATTCATTCTGATTTATTTCTATCATGGCTTACGTGTGTGTATAGAGTGATATGTATATCTAATGATATGTGTGCATATGTATAGATACACATAAATATTTAGGTAGTCCTTGACTTACAACAGTTCACCTAATGGCCGTTTAAAGTTAAGGCACTGAAAAAAATGACTTATAACCGTTTTTCACCCTTATGACTTTTGATTCATCCCCATGGCCACATGATCAAAATTCAGACGTTTGGCAACTGACTTATAACGGTTGCAGTATCCTAGAGTCATGTGATCCCTTTTGTGACCTTCTGGCGAGCACTCAATGTGGAAGCCAGATTCACTTTACAACCATATTACTATCTTAACTGTAGTGACTCACGTAAAAACTATGACAAGAAATGTTGTAAAATGGGTCCAAACTCACTTAACAACTGTCTCACTTAGCAACATAAATTTTGGACTCAACTGTGGTTTTAAGTCAAGGACTAGCTGTAGGTAGGTAGGTAGGTAGGTAGGTAGGTAGGTAGGTAGGTAAGTAGGTAGGTAAGTAGATAGATAGATAGATAGATAGATAGATAGATAGATAGATAGATAGATAGATAGATAGATAGATAGCTTTTTTTATGGATAGATTTATGGATGGATGGATACATACATGATAGATCAGGGCTTTTCAACCAATGGTACGGTACCACCTGTGGTACATTGGCACCTGGCAGGTGATATGCAACCATCCTAAAAAAGTGGTAGCGGGGGAGGGGAATGAGCTGAACCGGTGATAGCAGCGCACGAGCCTGAGCTAGAGATGGCTGGAGCTG